GCCAGAACATGTCAATGCCACAAATCCATTCGACAAGACGTCTATTTTCTTCACCCTCCAACACACCTCCACTCCCTCCCCACCATAACAACTTGTCTTCCTTCCCCTGCATGCTGACAGATTGGATCTGGTCTCCAATAAATTTCCCAGATATGAAGGAATTTGTATCTGCATAAAGTTACTCTCAGAACTGTGGTTTTGTTTTTGAATCAAGTAATATAAGAACTAAATAGGAATGGATCAATAAAAGAAAATGTGTACTTATTTCTTTGTGGCCACAATCACTACCTTTTAACCATATCTGAATCCCTCTCATGGATAAAATTGCCTTCAGTGTCATAACTTAAGTGCCAAACACGCTCGTGAAATAGGTATCCTTGAATCACTCATTTTAAAAGTAAGCCCATAATTTTTTGTATTCCTTTAACAATATGAACACTTCATCCATATGTCCACTGTTTATTTGACAATGTTGAATGATGTGGCAATTCTAAATATAAGAATTTATTCTCAAAATGTAGTGTGCCTTTTGCCAAAGTGGTTACTCATCACACACATTAATGACAAATGACAAGTGTACTGCCCACAACCGCATCATTCTATCACCCTGACTTTTTTTCTCTTTTCTTCTTAGCATCACCTTCAAAATTTGCAATGTCAGGATGGTGCAACTGTTACACATATCTGGATCAGTCTTTGGTTACCTTGGACAAAGTGGCTTGTTAACTTGCTGCACAATGCCTAAAAATGTACAGTCAGTAATTTCTCTGTAATTATAAACACAAGCTCCTGTTAATTTTAGCTGTGGTTTTTAAATTTGTAGGAATCTGTCGTATACTTTACAACATAAGAACCATGAGCAGGAGTAGGCAATTCAGCCCATAGAGCCAATTCTGCCATTTAATGCAATCATAACTGATCTTATCATGGCCTCAACTCCACTTTCTGACCTGCTCCCCATAACCCTTTATCCCATTGTTAATTAAAATCTGTCCATTATCTCCTTAAACTTATTCAATGTCCTGGCATGCACTGTACTCGAGGGTAGTGAATTTGACAGATTCAAGACTCTTTGAGAGAGTAATTCCACCTCATCTCTGTTTTGAATCTGCTACCCCTAAGAAACATTCGTTCTACATTTCATTTGTCAATATCCTTTAGCATGTTATATAGCTTAATTAGATCTCATCTCATTCTTCTAAACTGCTCTAAACTCCTCATAAGACAAGTCTTTCATCTGGAATTAATCTAGTGAACTTTCTCTGAACTTCCTCCAATGTAATTATATCCTTCCTCGAGTAAGGGGACCACACTGTATACGGTACTCCAGATGTGGTCTCACCAATGCCTTGTACAGTTGCAACAACACCTCTCTACTTTCATACTCCATTTCTTTTGCAATAAGTGCCAAAAATCCATTTTTCCTCATTACCACCTGCTATTCCTGCACAATGGCTTTGTGATTCATTGAATTTGCTGCCTGTGTGTTAATCCCATTTGCTGCTTGTGTGTTATTCTCCTCTCAGTGGAGCTAATAATAATAGTTTGTTCGTATAACCCAATTTTGCCATGTGGTTTTGTCATTAACTAAAATCGTTTAACACATCTTGATCTCATGGATTTTATGGTTTTTAATCTTCCTACATTATTCTCTTTTTTTGTCATTTTTTCCTCATTTTAAAGGGGATTGTAGCTGCATTGATCAGTTTGTGTGGCTCATTCTCTACGGCCTCATTATTTGCAAGTGTGTCATTTAGAGAGCAGATGGGAATGCTCAATACAGCAAGGAGACTGGGATGCTAAGGTTGCCAGCAGTTTGCTTGTTTGATGTCAATCAGACGAGTAAAGTTTGCAACCAATATTTGAAGTCCAGGAAGATGTTGCTCCAGCATATATCCAGCTAATTTTACATACTCCTGGTTTTCAAGTCAATGAATGAAGATGAGAAAGCATATTGTAAGCAAAATCAAATAAGCACATTATTGGCAATATTGGATCACTGACATTTATTCACTGCAATAATGGTGAAGGGAGGGTGCATTTAGTTTTTAAAACCCAGAAAACAAGTATATTATTTATTCATTAAATTCCACTGTCATGGACATTTTCTGGGTTTCTGGATTTCTAGTACATTGTCAATACGTCCTCACCATCACCACCCTTCCATAAAAGACCTGCTCTCAGTTTTGCAAAAGTAGAACAACATTAATCATATGTTCCAAAGTTAAACAATTAAGTCATTATGTTAATAACCATTTGGTTGTACAGAACTTGAGTATTGCCAAAAAATTATAGATTTTATTGACAGCACAGTATGGAGCTGGAGGAAAACAGCAGGCCAGGCAGCATCAGAAGAGCAGGAAAGTTGACATTTCGGTCGGGACCCTTCTTCAGAAATGGGGAGGGGGAAGGGAGCTGGGAAATAAACAGAGAGAGGAGGGGCTGAAGAAGGAAAGTGGGATGGTGATAGGTGAGTGCAGTTAGGGAGTGATGGAGATTGGTCAGTGGGATTGGAGGGACAGATATGTGGGAGAAAAGATGGACCTGTTGTATCAGGTCAAGGAGGCGGGGATGATAGGGGTGGAGGATGATAGGATGAGGACGGGGGTGGGGAGATTTTAAAACTGGTGAATTCCATGTTTAGTCCATCGGGCTGTAGGCTCCCGAGGCAGAATGTGAGGTGTTGCTCCTCCAGTTGGCAAGTGACGTCATTGTGAGACTGAAGGAGGCCCAGGATGGACATGTTGCCCAGGGAGTGGGAGGGGTAGTTAAAATGTTTGGTGACCGGAAGGTGTTGTCGTTTACTGCGTACAGAGCACAGATGCTCTACAAAACGGTCTCCGAGTTTACGCTTGGTCTCACCGATGTAGAGGAGGCCACATCATGAGCAATGGATACAGTAGACCAAGTTGACGGATGTGCAGGTGAACCCCTGTCTGATATGGAAGGTATGTTTTGTGCCATGAATGGAGGTGTAGGAGCAGGTGTAGCACTTCCTGCAGTTGCAGGGTAAGGTGCCGGGGTTGGTGGGGTTAGTGGGGAGTGTGGAGCGGACGAGTGAGTTGCAGAAAGAGCAGTCCCTATGGAAGGCAGATCCGACCCTACAACTGAAGACAAGTCCAACCTCATAACCAAAGAGACCTCCTCCTACCGCCCCCTCGATCATGACCACACCCACCCCCCCCGACCACCAAACCATCATCTCTCAAACCATTCATAACCTCGTCACCTCAGCTGACCTCCCACCCATAGCCTCCAACCTCATCTTTCCCCAGCCCCGCGCTACCCATTTCTATCTCCTTCCCAAAATCCATAAACCTGACTGCCCCGATCGACCCATTGCCTCTGCCTGCTTCTGCTCCACTGAACTCATCTCCGCTTACCTTGACTCCGTTTTATCCCCCTCGTCCAGGAACTCCCCACCTACGTCCGGGACACCACCCACGCCCTTCGCCTCCTCCAAATGGGTAGTGCAGGATTGGGGAATGATGAGGTTGGAGGCTTTGAGCGGGAGGTCACCTGAGGTGATGAGGTTATGAATGTTTTGAGAGATGATGGTTTGCTGCTCAGGGGTGGGGGTCATGATCGAGCGCCTGGTAGGAGGAGGTCTCTTTGGTTCTGGGGTCGGATCTGCCTTTCGTAGGGACTGCTCTCTCTGTGACTCCCTCGTCCGCTCCACATTCCCCACTAACCCCAGCACCCCCGGCACCTTTCCCTGCAACTGCAGGAAGTGCTACACCTGCCCCTACGCTTCCCCGCTCACCTCCATTCAAGGCACATAGCAAACCTTCCATATCACACAGGGGTTCATCTGCACATCAGTCAACTTAATTTACTGTATCCACTGCTGCTGATGTGGCCTTCCTCTACATGGGTGAGAACAAGCGTAGACTCGGAGACTGTTTTGTAGAGCATCTGCGCTCTGTATGCGACAAACAACAACACCTTCCGGTTGCCAACCATTTTAACTCCCCCTCCCACTCCCTGGGTGACGTGTCCATCCTGGGCCTCCTTCAGTGTCACAATACCACCACCTGCCAACAGGAGGAGCAACACCTCACAGTCTGCCCCAGGAGCCTACAGCCTGATGGCCTAAACATGGGATTCACCAATTTTAAAACTCCCCACCCATGATGTCATTCCACGTCCAAGCCTCCGTCTCATCCCTGCCTCCTTGACCTGACACAACCTGCCCATCTTCTCTCCCACCTGTCCGCCCCTCCCATCCAACTGACCAATCCCCACCACTCCCTAACTGCACTCACCTATCACCATTCCACCTAGCTTCCCCAGCCCCACGCCCCCTCTCTCTGGTTATTTCCCAGCTCCCTTCCCCACCCCATTTCTGAAGAAGGGACCCAACCAGAAACGTCGACTTTCCTGCTCCTGTGATGCTGCCTGGCCTGCTGTGTTCCTCCAGCTCCATACTGTGTTATCTCTGACTCCAACATCTGCAGTTCTTGCTATCTCTGAATAAACTTTATTGGAGCCTTTCTTCTTGCAGTCATCAGGACATTTCGCATTGGGATATCAAAATAAATGGGAAAACGTTTTGATACAACTAAGAGTTATTTTGCTGTCCTAACTACCACAAACTCTGGGCCAACAAATTAGAGATGTTGGAATAAATGCCATTGCAATGTGAACCAGTGAGATCAGTAGGAATGGATAGTGAGGCATTAAGACCTTCTGATATAATTGTGTCGAAGATAGAACAGAAAGGCTATGTTCCTTTCTTCCATAGACATAATACCTATTACAACAACACCAAATGGACTAATTAATTTAAATTGTAAGGTAACTGTCTGTCCCATTTCTCACTTCAAAACAAACACTTTGATTACAAGATGTTCAGAATATGAATAACATTGTTTCTTTAAGCTCCTTACCATATAGGCCTCTATTTACTGAACATGTGAAGATCATAATTCTAAACTATTGCATCCAAAATATATACGGAAATTATTTATTAATATTGTTCAAAATATTTTTGCCAATAGGATGTGACAACCATTGAAAGGATGTCAAGCAATCTTGATGAGACGTGAGTACTGAAGGGAGATTATTGAAGTTCCTATTTCTTTATCCCTAGGGAAATTTTGTGTATTGGCGGAAGTGTTAATCCACTGAAGTTTTTAGTTTGATTCATTACATCATTTAATTTTCAATACCATGTTAACAAAATAACTAATTTGTTTTATTCCCATATTTGTGCAGTGGGAAATTAGATGCTGTAAATTAAAGTATCAAAATGCTTAAATTGAGCAACTTATAATAACCATGTTTTGATAATTAAAGCATTTGAAGTACAATATCAGCATCTAATTAATCACTAATAGACTGCACCAAGAAATACACAAACCACTTAACACAATACAGAAATAATTTGTGGAAAGGCCAATCAAAGGGAAGATTTTCTGATAGTATACTTTATATCTGAAAAGATGACTGTTATAATTAGTGTTATGGGTACATATGCTCTGTGCACACATTTAACAGACTCTACCAGCTCCTCAGAAATCTCTTTCAAGCTATTGTTTCAAAATATGCAATTATATCTAGTTTGATAGTCTACTTCAAATATGTAGTTTTCCCCATTTCACTGTTTCATGTAGAATATCACGTGCTTAGTATGGTTAAGATTTAATTTTAAACACTTTTTGAGTCATAGTGAGCAAACAGCACTATATCAGTCAAGCTATTGTTCTAACATGGCTAAAATATTCACTGTGAGTGCTGCCTCTTACAAATGCTCTTATCTGTAGGTTGAAGCCCAGCAAGCCATGGCAGCAGACCTTCTCAGAAGTGTTTGGCACCCGCTGGAAGATCCTGTGGTTTATTCCATTCAGACAGAGACAACCGCTGCGAGTTCCCTATCATCACGCCAATCATGTTTAACAGATGGAAGCTGAAAAGATAAGACCTCATGTGTCAAAGTACTTAGCAGCATTTCCAGTGATGCATCTATCCCCATGTTCAATTTGGCATTCAACATGTTGCATCCCAAGTAATATTCTGATCAAAATTTGTGCCTGTAAGCAAATCTGTTTCAAAGCCACTTTCAATGTGGGATATAACCTTATGAAAATATTACAGTTATTTTAAAAACATTCATAAACAATCCATGATCAATGTTAAGAGACAGGGGACCTCCATTATCTAAATGTTCCAACCAATTTCTGCCTGATTTGTAGTGAAGGGTTAATGAATGATCATTTTGATAAAAACAACTCTTTTTTGTTCGTTTGGAAACTTCTTCAATTAAGCATATACAAAGGGTTGTGAAAGGTGCTAGCAATATTGTGAAGTTTAATTCATAAATATGAATCATTTGTGAGTACATCAATTACAATTGTACACTCCGGAGAAAAATATCAGTCTATCACAGGTTATAAAAAATGATGTCAAACTTGGTAATGTTGCATGCCAGTATGAAGAAAAATGCATTTCTAGTTGTTTGGTAATACAAAACTTAAGTGTTGCTGAAAAATACATATTTTCTTGAAGCTTTTCATCTGGCAGTCAACATTTGCATTTCTTTCAAGACTAGAAGCTTTGATTTAAAAAAAGGGTCTTTTTTCAGCAAAGATGCATAGAGCAATTGTTTGAGATTTTTCAACGAATTACACTGTGGATTTGAAGTACGTTGTTTCATAATACTTTCCCTTCCTGATTATATTTTTAATGATTTTGTACATTCAGTTTCTGTAGTTTATTTGTATCAATGTGTAAATTTTGCATCAAACTTTGCTGATGGGCTTAACCATTTTTTTGTCACTCCTGAGTGTTATATGACTTTTTTTTAAACAAAAAAATTTGTTAAGAATGCATGTTGGAGATACGGAAGTTCTCAGTGAAGGGAATCATGGAGTCTCAAATGTACCAAATTGTGAGGAAAAACAAAATGAATGCAGTTTATTTAAGTCTAGTAAAGTGACTAGACCTGTGGGAAACAGTTTACAAGGTAGAAAATCAAATTGAACAATTTTCTTGTCAAGTGCCTATAATTTAGTGATTTTTAACATGACAATGCATTTGGCTTGTTCTAATCAAATCAGGAACCAAAGATGTTATATAACTGTTCATACAAGCTTTAATGATAAAGTAAATTATGATTTTCTTTTTAAACGACCTGCAGTAATTTGTTGCAATGACTTTGTTGTATCCTGCTTTTCAGACCATAGACTGTGTGGATCTCTCCATTATAATCATGTATATTTTAAAAATCTATGTGAATTGCACTATGTGTGTTTCCTCTCCCTTTCAAAGATACCTGAGTGCATAGTGCATACTGTTTACATAGTTGTATGCATTGCAATAGTAAATTCTTATCCATCCTACAATCAGAAATCTCTTACGTGAATTCTTAAGAGATAATGTCATGTAAGATCGTAATATACAGGAGCAGAATTAGGCCATTTGGCCCACTGAGTCTGCTGTACTGTTCCAACATGGCTGACATGTTTCTCAAGCCCATTCTCCTGCCTGTCCCTGTCCCTCCACCTATCATTGTGTCATCTACAAACTTACAAACAATGCACTTGTTCCTTTCTTCAGATCATTAATGTATGACATGAATAGTCATGGTTCCAACACAGACCCCTGCAGAACTTTATTAGTCACTGGTTGCCTTCCTATAAAAGACCCCTTTATCCCATTCTCTGGTTTCTACCAATCATCCAATCATCTATCCATGCCGGTAACTTGCTCTTAACACCACAGGCCCTGATCTTACAAATATCCTTTTTGCCACCTTGTCAAAGGCCTCTAGAAATCCAAATAAATCACATCTACTAGCTGTCCTTTGTCTAGTCTGCTTATTACCTCCTAAAAGAATTCTAACAGATTTGTCAGGCATGACCTCCCTTTAATAAAGCTATGCTGACTCGATCTGATTTACCATCCACTTCCAAATACTCTGTAATCTCATCCTTAATAATGAAGTGTAAAATCTTACCAACGACCATGGTCAGGCTAACAGGTCTATAATTTCCTACCTTTTGTCTCTCTCCCTTTTTAAACAGAGGTGTAAGTAAATGGTAAACCAATATATTGTAATATTGACTGCTAAGTTAATTGTCGACCCGCTGCTGCTTTTGTGCTTATTGGTGCTTAGTAATTCAGAGTACAATGCTTATTCCCTGCTGCATATGTTTTAAATTGCAGAGTAACTGCTGCTTGAACATATTCTTTTAGACCTGTGTTTTTCCTAATTTTCTTCCTTACTATCTTAAAGGGGCTAGTTTCATACTGAGTGTGCAGTTTATGGGTTTCAGCAACCTTTCCCAATCTCATCCAAGCAAAGGTCTCATTTGGAAACCTAGTTGATAAAAATATTCACTCGGAGAGCATCACTACTGCCTGATCTTTCCCTCATGCAGCACTTTCCAGCAGAGAATACTGCACTTAAATGAAGACTGAGATTGGACGATTCCCTCCACTTTTTTCAGACCAGTGGCATGGATACCTGTTGCAGTTGCCAACGCTTCATTCAGTGTAGATCAGACACTTAACGTGTAACCTCCTGGGTTGCTTGATTCAGTGGATGTTTGGTTACGCATTTACTCAGCAGGTGACTTTACAAGACAAGAAGATATGGAGCTGGATGAACACAGCAGGCCAGGCAGCATCAGAGGAGCAGGAAA